GAGGAATTTCTGGGTCAGAGAATACCTACACTTAAAAGTCTTAAGATATTATCAACAACAGGCACTCCAGGAAAAAATTTATAATGCTCTCCAACACTGGCTACTGGGTATCATTTTCCTGCATCTCCAGTGGGGATAAGATCTTTCCCATGAGATGATTCTGAAGTTCAGATGAAGTGAGGACAGACTCCTATGTTAGTTTTACCACAGGATAACACATTTTCCAAGTTTTTACAACTTCACAAAATGAATTACGTTGTGGAACTCTTTGGCTCAGAGATTACTGTGTCCCTACTTCACTCACCATTGATGCCTTCACCTTGTAGTCAATATTTCAACATATAAATTTAATGGAGGGGCACAAATATTGAGACCATAACACACATATATTTTAGCTTTGTCTGCTAAAAGGGTACTGACACCCCAGGAGCAAAGAACACATGTAGGACCCATATCTTGATTATCTGGATTTCTAAATACCATTCCCCACCACAAAGGATTGGGGCTGATTCCCAGGGTAGCCCTGGAAAATTTTGCTGTGCTAAAAAGTAAAGATGTGAAACATAATGTTCTTCATGTCATTGTAGATTAATGATAACAAAAAAAAAAAGTAAAGATGTGCTAAGAAAAATTTGATACTCAATATAATGAAGGATGGTAATGTCTTATAACTGATTAGATAAAGTAAAAATCTGTAATTTCTTCTGCCTCAGTCTCTGTGCCTTTTTTACAGAGCTCCCAACAGCTCCATGTTGGGACTGAGCATCTGGAGGTTCACAGCCTCTGTGGTCTGTAGGAGCCACTGTGAGGAGGGTGCAGGGAAGAATTTTTGGTGTTTTCAGTGGAAAACGAGTGTTGGTTACTAATTATGATGAGTCTGTACCTTGGGTCTAGATTTGCTGCACCTTTCTTTATAGTAAGACACCAGGCTGCTTAAGAAATAAGGATGTTTTGTTTAATTTATGAAACAATTTAATGTATGAAGAGGAGCATTTTAAGAGGTGCAATCTTTATGAAAATGGCTCACTCTTGAATTCAACATACTAGATGCATCTGTAAATAAACTTATGGCATGAGGAAAAATCCATGAGCCATACTGATAACAAATAGATCAATAATACACAAATGTGTACATGATATAAATTTGTATGTAAATAGGGAGTATACAGGAGTCCTCTTATAACTTTCTGTAAGTGTGAAATTATTACACAAAGCTAAAAAATATTACAACCCCCATTACTTTTGCCCTGTTTAAAAAGAAAAACATAAATATATATACATAAAATTTATATATGTACACATTTAAGTAGATACAACTCCCATCGTACCTGCTTCACATCCCCCCCATAGCACTTCCCAGTGTCTATCATACTGTGTTATTAATGTATTCATCATGTCATTTTTATTCTTTGCCCTCCTTTCCCCACTGCTTCCTTAAAGGAGGTAGGCTCCACACTCATTCACTAGGCTGTGGGCCTAGAACTGTCTGGTCCATAGCAGGTGCTCAATAAACATTTGTTGTTGAATGAATGAGTGAATTAGAACTTTCTGGGCATGGAGGTGGTTATGGCTGACTTTCTCTGGGTGTTCTGGCTTCTTCAGAGCCTCCTCTGCTAGCCCCTCTCAAGATGCAGGTGATTTATTTTATTTCCTCAGCTTCTGGCTTTCCTGTGTTGTCTTCTGGTCAGATTTTCAGGAGGGCTGCCATCATTGCTGTGAGGAGATCCTCTTTGGTCAGAATTTAGATGGGCTCCAGGCCTTCTGTGACCCACGGGTGGCAACGCTCACACATTGCTTCCCCCTGCTGGGAATGGGAGCTGGCTACTGGTACAGTCCTCTCTTTCACCCACTTCCTTGATCATTTCCCAACCAAGGAGCATACCCTCCAGTCCATGAAACACATGTTAAGCTCTTAAGGTGGTCTCCCCTAAGGTCCTCCCATCATACTTGGGAGAGGGAAGCACCACTCACCTGTACCCCTCAGTGTGGGTGGGAACTCTGTGCAGAATCCTTTTCCCGAATCCTTTCCTATCTGCAGCCTCCCAGCCCCTTTGACACCCTTGGTGTGCATTACTCATGGTTCTTGGAAACTTGCTCATAGTTCTCTGCATGGTCATCTGTCTCTCCATTTGCTCTGTTACTGATTCATGTTAGATTTTAGTGCCTCAGTCAAAACCCCCAGTTTAACATCTTGTCGTACATGTTAATCTGTGACCCACGGTGGCTCTAAGATATATTGCTATCAGATAGGAAAAAAATCATCACTCGGAAAAAAATTCAAAATAATTCAAATGCTTTCCATGCATTTCCCCCAAACACCATGAGGGGGACTTACAGATTACAGTAATATTTCTAAAATCTTCATTTTCCACCTCTGTTTATATTCCTCACCCACCATGGCTGCTCTCATTCCTCTGTCTTCCAGATTTCCCGTGAATTCATCCTCTGGCCTTAACAGACGACCATGGTCCCCTCCCTTTCCACTTCTGCCGTATTTATACCCTAAGAATCCCAAAGAACCATCTAGCCAGACTCATCCCTGGCTAGAAAGGGAATAGTTGGCTCTTCATTAATGGCAGCTGGCAAGGATTACCCAGTTACACTACAATCCTTAACTTCCATGTAGTTAGGTGTGATTGTGCAAGTCTTCCCTAATGGGGTGTAAACAAAAGTGAGGTGTGCTATGTCTGGACCTGACCCAGAAGACTGCCTGTACTTGTCTTTCCCCTGCTCTCGTGCTAGAACGGTGATGACCAGAGTAACCTTGCGAGGCAGGGCTACTATTGCTTGGGTCCCTGCGTGACTATATGGAGGAGAGGTGCTTGCCAACCTGGGGTGGCTTCCCCAGAATGTTAGATGTGTGAGAAAAAAAAGGTTCTTTTGCTGGAGCCATTTCATTTGGTGTTCTATTTATTAGAGCAGTTTAGACTTTCACATGTACAGAATTTAAAACCAGGTATGGTGTGCTGTCTTAATATAAGTCCAAAATATGTAGCATTGACTTTGCTGGGCATGAGGCAGTGGAGAAATGGAGTGTTTTAGATCCTTGTTTTACTGGGGAAATGCCAGGTGGTACCATACTGGAGAAAACAAAGAAGACACAGGTCCCCCCGGAGCCTGTGGTTATGGGAAAGGCAGATGGAAGGAGCCAGAACCGTAGGGTGAGTTGGGACTGCCGGCTGGTTTTAGCAAGGTACAGGTTCAAAACCTTGGAGCCAGATGTGTTTGAGAATTCAGAATTTTTTGAAATTTAGCAAGTTAACAATGGACATACTGTATAGTATAGTACAAAACATCCCTGCAGTCTGGGGAGCACCCCCTAATCAAACACTGAATTAACACCCATAATCAAATATTCCTATTTCTGCAGTGACATCTATGATTATTCATACCAAGCAGGATCAATAAAGACTAAAAATAGCCCACATCAATTTAGGTCAAATTTTACCATGGCAGAGTTACAGAAATGAGCTAGAAGAGCTTTTGCTTTGTCAGAGCTTTCTGGGTTTCAGAATTACAGAGAAGGGGTTGTGGACCTGGATCATAAGAGAGACGGGAGCCCAGGCAAGAACTGACCTGTTTTCAAGCAGAGAACGACCAAAATGAGGAAACAGTCCAGAATTTGAGGTACCCCTGGATTATACCTCAAACTGTGAGAGAGAAAACTTGTTTGCAGACCTCCCATTAAAGCTTCTCAGTCAAAAAACCCAGCTCTGAAGCAAAGATCTGAATAAAGTATTGCT